CCCCAAAACCCCAAAACCCCAAAACCCCAAAACCCCTATAATATATTAAATTATTGAATGGAGGAAGAAAAGCAGAAAGAATTAATCTGGCAGGCAAGGCTTGCCCAGAAGTGTCAAAGATATGAAGATATGGAAATGTATATCATCCAATCTATAGAATCTGAGATGTAAGCATTTTCCTTATTTATAGGACAGAGAGCACCGATATTGAATCAGCCAAAGAATTATCGGAAGAACAAAGGGAACTACTTGCTATTGCTTTGAAAAATCCCATTGGAAATGCAAAATAAAGAGCTAAGAATTATCGATGCAATTAGAAGTGACCCAAAATTTAACTTTTATGAAAAAGAGTTGTCAAAATTTAGAGCTAAAGTTGCTGCAGAGTTCATTGACAAATGTAAACATGGGATTGAAGTCATTAAAAAGTACCTTCCTTTCCCATTCCAAGATGTTGCTAGAACCAGAATGGTGTATCTTAGCACAGAAAAGATGGAATCTAGAGTATTTATCTATAAAACTCTGGGAGATTTTAACCGACATCTTTGAGGTGTAGCAATAGGAGATAGCAAGGTTCAGGCTGCCAAAAAATCAATCAATGCCTATGAAATAGCAAGGAAAATAGGTTCTCAACTTGGAAAGTCGCATCCTTACATCATGTCTCTCAAACTCAACCTTGCAATCTATGTTAACGAAATTTTTAAAGATAAGAAAAGATCAATTGTAGGTATTTATAATAATTTTCTAGGAAGTTGCCAGTAATGCCTATGATGATGCTCTGAGAGATCTAATGTCTGCTAATAAATATAATCAGATTCAAGAAACTTACTATGAAGGTATGATTGTTCATCTATACTTTAGAAATATCTCATATTTTGTCACTGCTAAAAGAGCATATCATTTCTTGGAAACAGCAACTTGAAATTGAGCACACCAATGAAAAGGAGTCTTACTCTGATTAAAAATGTAATGATTTTCAATGCAGATATTAGATAAGGGGTTTTGGGGTTTTGGGGTTTTGGGGTTTTGGGG